AGAGAGAGAGAGAGAGAGAGAGAGAGAGAGAGAGAGAGAGAGAGAGAGAGAGAGAGAGAGAGTAAGGTTGAGCGCCAGAAGGTTCGAGATCATATTGGGAGTGAGAGAGAGAGAGAGGGGAGGGGGGAAGAGAGCGAGATTACGTGTGTGGCGCTGTTGGCGATAGCGGCCATTAACAGCTCGTATACGAACTCAATTCTTGTGTAATGTCAAAGAGTAGGAAGGGGATTTCATCTTCATGTAGGCTGACTTGTCATTGCAATGTTTGGGTGAACTTTCGTGAGATTTCGGTGTGCTGTAGGTGCGATTAGGTGTGGAATTCAGTTGGTTTCGATGCGGAGTCCTTGAAACAGTGTTGGATGTTTAGATATTCTCAGCAAACAAGAGTTATCTGAGTTACAATTAGGGTCAAGCGCTGGACTCCTTAGGCTTCCATCATGTTTACCACATGATAAGGATGCAGTCATTGAAACACTATCTTTGTGGCATTCTTCCCGATTGAACCATACCTAGGCTTTCTTTTGTTTCTACCCCTCCTTTTCTAATCAATAGTGAATATCGTCTCCGTATTTGAATGAAATTCCATGAATTCCCACTGCTCATTGTGAAGAAAGAGTTGTTGGAGACACACACACAATGACGAAGCTCTCTTGCGACGCACACACGCACACACAAAAACAAGAACTCTCTTGAATGGGAATGTAGCCCAAGTGTTCGTTATGTGCCTGATTGAAAACAAAATCCAGCAGGCCATTCACACGTTCCCATACACATGCGGGAGGCAAGTAGACTTGGAGAAAGAAATTCACAACAAGCCAGGTGATGATATTACCTAGGGGAAGCACTCAAAACCGTTAATAGAATAGAATTTAATTCAATTCTTATTATCCCGTCTCTCTCTCCAGTTCAATCAACAACACTAATTCTGAGAATCCCAACCACGTTATCAACACCCATGGACCAATTATATGCAAAGTTTCATCGAAGTATCCAGGAGTCTTTTTCTTCCTCCCTCTTCACCAAGCTCCAGCTCACGTCACTCTGCACCACTCATGAAGCCCATCTGCAGATTATGTGTCCACTCAGCAGGTGAGCGCAGCTCTCAGGATGAAGAAGAAGAACACCAACTCGACGAAGATGAACGCCTGCCACTTCGAAGAGGTGTGCAAAAGCTGCTTCGATGGCATCTGCCTTAACCCGAACAGACACACCAGGAGGAGGAAGCGCCCATCAGCGCCTATGGCCCACAGCCCGACACCATCAACACAGGGGCTGGCCGGTCCCACCTATGGCCACCAGCAACATGAAGAAGATGAGCCCCTACGCTGCTGAAGATAGCGCAGCTCTCAAGACGCAACCTTAACAGACCAACGTGAAAGATAAAAAATGGAAAAGAACCAAAAGAACCCCCAAGTGCCTCGCCTGCCTCCTACTTCTAGTCACAACCTCTACTTTTGACCTAAGGCAACCAGAACACTAAGACCTACGGGCCTACACAAAAGCAGCAGAAAAAGACGAAAGGAAACGGCCTAGTGGTCTAAGGCTGTGCAGAAAAGAGAGCCCGGCAAGTGACAAGTGCAGGGGTCGAGCCCCACAGACCACAAGACGTCGAAAAACTACAAAAGTAAACCACTTAGAAGGAAGTCCTAGCAAGGAACATGTCAGGGTATCAAGCCCTGTAGCACCCAAAACATTACAAAACTAATTAACTAAGTTGCACAGTCCGATGGGAATCTGCAGTTTATTGCATGTTCAAGCCTATAACCTAGCTATGTATGGCAATTTCCACAGCAAGGTATCAGAAATGGTATGTCCTTATATATTGTCATAAATCGATGAACTAAAAGAGCGCACTTCGCAAAGCAAATAATAAAAATACACGAGGCAAACATGAAAAGCACACTGAAACCGTTCAGTTTTTTCACTCTTCTTTGTAAAACCCCCTTTATATATAACAGTTATCGAAATTGACTTTAAAAAAATTATTGAATCACATTGTTTGTGTTCCACACAGAATCAAGGAGTGCTGAACTAAGGGGCTGACCTACAATGCGAAAGTGCTTCCCTATTCATTGTATTCATCGTATAGACCCAAGTGTCAGAAGCTTTACCTATTTCTAGTATGGACTCATTTTTTGTGTACCGTGCATAACCATCGAGCAAGTAATCAGCTCAAAGACTGACAGAGTCTGAATGTCACACGTTCGTATTGGTGTCGATGGTGGTGGTTGATGGTCACTGGTTGGGGGCTTGCTGCTGCGGGGTTAAGGTTCTTGAGGAGTCATTCTGCAAAGATCAACTGCCCCCGAGGAGCTCAAAAGGGGATCTTGCTGCAAAATCGGGTGTACCTTATGCACACGTAAGTTTCACGAGAATGCATCTGAAGATTTGCTTTGATCTTTTGTCCCTTCAAACTTCCTTTGATTTGCAAGCAACCCTCTCTTTTTCACAATCGTTAACCACTTCCTAATCATCTTTCCCGATCTTTTAACTACTACCTACCATCTTCACCCGAATATAACGCCCGGTCATTATCACTGTATATAGACGGAAACTTTCACCAAGTACAGCTATAATGACCGGGCGTTCTATTCTGCTGAATAAGGTAGTCATCTTTCCCACTCTCTCTCTCTCTCTCTCTCTCTCTCTCTCTCTCTCTCTCTCTCTCTCTCTCTCTCTCTCTCTC